AGCTCCATTTCCCCCTCATTTAAATTTTTTTAATTTTTTGATAGCTGGCATGAGTCTATCGATATGAGACTATCACTAGTCTTGGATCACTGAATAAAAGATTAAAAATGATGGAGGGAAAATTTAAAAGGAGTGGTGTGTGGTTTAGTTCCCTGCTGGTATTGACTTGAAAGGGTGGATTGGAGAGGAGGCAGTGTCCCCAGTACAAAAAAAAAAAAAAAAGATTTCAGTGTTGCATGCAAACAAAGTAAGGGGGTGGATTGTCAGTGTGGAATGAAATTAACATGAGATGTAAAGAGAGGGAGACACTGGGATAGGAAGCCTAAAGCTTTGAAAACATTTTTCCCTTAATGCTTTAGTGGACAAAGTTGGGTCGGGGCATTTTTGCAGTCTTTGGAAGAGTGCAATCCACACAGGACAAGCTTTAAAAAAACTACCAAGATCATGACCAGTGTGCAGGATCAAATTAAAGAATCACAAAGAGAAAACCATGCAGATTTGCAAGGAAGAGCAGGAAATTAGTGTTACACTAAGGCATTGGCAAGAACAACCCCCCATTTTTTTCAATTTAGTGGCACAAGACTAAAAAAAGCTCTCCAGAGCTTCTGCCAGAAGACTCCTCCCCCATACAAATTGCAGCCCTGTTCAAAGCATGGTGGAGTTGCAGCCGATCTTGCACAGGCATGCACATGAATACATGTTGCCAACGTTCATAGCTTGCATTGCCAATGTCAGTGGGTTCTATCTTATTTATTTATTGGGATTTTTACCCCGCCCTCCCCGCGAAACAGGCTCAAGGTGGCTTACAAGGGGTAAAGCCCATATAGAACAGGATAAAAGCAATAAAAACAATAATAATCACAAACAACAATGATACTCAATTGAAAGCAGGATGGTCCCCGAATATATACAATGATGGTAAAAACAGTTCTCTGGGGATGATGTTGTCCTATAGCTGATCCTAAGCAAATAAGTCCGATAATATCAATCGTGCAAAATTGTGGCAGATCTTCCCAGGCCATCCTTAACCCCGATGTTGTGGGGGCCCCTTTGTGAAAGCCTGGCAGAAGAGCTCTGTCTTGCAGGCCCTGCGGAACTGCATAAGGTCCCGCAGGGCCCTGATCTCCTCCGGGAGCTTGTTCCACCAGGTAGGGGCCACCACCGAAAAGGACCTGGCCCTAGTCGCAGCGAGCCTTGTCTCCTGGGGGCCTGGAACCACCAGGCAATGTTGCGCCCTGGACCGAAGTGCTCTTGGGGGTATATGTGGGGGTATATGTATATATCGTGCAATCTGTGCACTCAACATGTTCCCCCATATTATGAGATCATGTGACTCCCATTTTTCACAATGGCTGATAACACAGCTGAGAATCCCCTAGTACTTGACAATATGGAAAATGGCGCTTCGCAGCTGCTTGTCAGTTTCAGAAGAAGTCTGATCAGTTTCAACAGTGGGTTATCCCCCTTTGCCTGCATTCCTTTCTGTTCCCTTTCATTCAATGAACTATTGCTAAAGTGCATGCGCAAAACTTGAACCATATAGATTTAAACGGAAGGTGGTTGCTGGACACTACTGTGCAGCTGCGATAGGGCAGTTATGTAGATTTTAAAAAAGACTTTGTATGCCACCTCCCACATGTCAGAAGTGACATTCCACCCCAATTTAGAAAAATGTATTTCTAAATTGTAGCTGCAGAATAAATACACTGGAGGAAAAAGAATGGTGTATAAGGTGAGCACAGAATCTGAAGTCAAGATTAAAGGCTTTACTGGGCTGAAAATCTTCAGTAAGACATGTGTGCATAATGGGCCTCAGAGAGTCAAAGAGGATGCATGCAAAGGTGTCTCCCCTGCCAGGGAGAAACCTTGGTATGACTCCAGCCAGCCCATCATTTTATTCAGTTACAAGAGCCTCCGCAAAGTCACCGTAGAGGATCTCAAAATCCCCAGAGCCACCTGGTAACTAATAGGATCTAATAATTTCCAAAGTTGGACCATCTGAATCGGCTTACTACCCCTGAAAGGAGGAGGCAGCAAGATCAGCTGTGCCTTCAGAAGATAGTGATCTGATCCAACAAGGGCTGAATCTCCAGCCTCTTAATCAGATCACTAGGAAGCCACTCAGTACAGTAAAGCAGATCCAGTCAACTCATCCAGGGACCCTCAATGGCAAACTAGGTGGACAGTAAACAGCAGGTTCCCTAATTTGTTCCTGGTGCTCAACACAAGGTATATACACTCGAAGCTACCCTCTGTCTGCACCAGATATATAGTTACAGAGAAAGATTCATGGAAAAGAATAGCTACCACCCCCAATCCTTAAGTTTGAGATTGGTGAAGGAGTTTGTTTATTCCTTTCTTTTGCCTTTAATGGTACAGCTCTTTTGGTCACAGCCTTAAGTCTAATCTCACAGAGAGAGAGAGAGAGAGAGAGAGACTCTAGTCACAAATGTTTTTTGATTTTAATTTTATGCTGGGTTGCTAAAAGGTAGGATGCCAGTGTCCTGATGATATATGGGTCCTTATCTCATAAGAGAAAAGAAAGGCTCTGGTTAATATTTGTGAGTTTATCCTCAAAAATTATTGAATATTTAAATATTAAAACATTTATACCTTGCCTTTCTTATTGACTCAAGGTGGCATACAAGTAAAAATTAAAACATTTAAAAATTAAATTAAAAATAAAAATAAAAAAAACTGGCAATTCATGTAACTGTCATAAAACAGGTAACATATGTTCTCATTTGGCTAGCTCCTCACCAGAATTGGGCTGCTGTATCCTGGGTTGGTTGCAGGCAGGGCTGTGTCAGCATGCTTCTCCAGATGCAAGCAACTAAAACACTCTTAGCAGCCTTCCTTCTCTTCCCCTTGTACTCGTAGTGCTTTCAGACAGGCTGGTGTCACTGACCAGAGGCAGGCAGATAACGGCAGGAGAACTAGACTGCTTAGTCTCTCCTTCCTTCTAGAGGTTGCCAGGAAGACTGCTGACACTCAGCTTGTTCAACAAGTGGACTGCAAAGCACAAGATTCAGCGTGACACCTGCCCCTTTTGTGTGGCATTGGCTACTTTGTAGATAAATTATCATGGAAAACAGAGTACTGTGACTCAAACCAGTTCTAAAGATCTGGTTGTTGCATGAATGTAAAGTCCTTCCAAATGTTAGGTTAAGGTTTAAGGTACAGGGAAGAAACAGTATAGCAACACAATCCACAACATCTCCAAGTGTTGTGAGATGATTTTTACATTGTGGTCAGTTTTTATATTCTATTATATACAAATAAAAACATTTACATTTTATGAAAATTAACACTCTAATTCTGGAACTGCTGTGTTGATGCTTTCAAAACAAAACCTACTCAGAAGGATCAGAAGCACTTTCTATTTTATTATTCATATTTTTAAATGGTCAGGTTACTCAAGGTTGTTAAATTATACAATGCATGCTTTTATCATTCGTTTTTAGATGGGTTGGAAGTAAGTGGAGAGTGCTTTCTTTTCCTGTGGGCCAATATGTAGAGCTGATTCTGAAGTGAGGTGGAAAAAGGTGTCCTATCAAGACTTAAATTGTTCTTGATCTTTCTCTTGGGGGTAGGTGCATATAAGTAACAAACACAGGTCCAAACTGTATTTATATTTCTTCATATGCTATAAAGAAATCTTTGTCCATGTTAACTCTGAGCCTGGAACTCACAATGTAAACCATTATAATTGTTGTCAAAATTGATTTTTTTAGCCCACTCTGGTTCCTTTTTATCACATATGTTTTTGTACTAATCAATGTAATGGAAATGAATGGGGAAAGCAAAACAAATGAGAAACTAATGAAAATTTCATTTGATTTATTATGGATAGAAAAAAAATGAGAATCCTATAGGATATACACCACTGACAATACAAAGTAATGTAGTTTAGGCATTTTACATTGGACATATAAGAGGGAACAGCATGCAGAGATTACAGAAGGGTTGCAGGATGGAAGGAAGAGTGATAACAGTGTAACTGACAGGCTGGCCCTCTCCACTTATGAGGAAATCCTGTGGGGTAGAGAAAATTGGTTGAGTCTTTCATCGAAATCACTGAGACTCTGTAAGATATGCACCTTTAAATTGCCTGTTAAGTGGGAATCCTTCATTTTATCTCTTTGAGATTGGGCAGATATATAGAACAGTATAATAGATGAAAAAGTCACAGCATTTGGTTGTCAAACCACTGACATTACAGTTACAGGTAGAGGCTGAGTCTCTCGTTGAAATCAGCAGGGAATGAGATGGGCAGAAACTAAAATTAATGAGTTCATACTAGTGAAAAATGAAATCAGTGTAACTGAAGCAAATTAAAAATGAAACAAATTGGGTATCTAATGAAAACTGCAGCTACTGGGAGGCTATATATGTAGAGACAATTAATCGCATATTATTTGCTGCATGAGCATCTGTTTCTGGGAATGTAATGTACAGTGTTAGTTATCCATTAGTTAGTGTTAAGATAAAATTTATCTCCTCTTTGCAAGCCCTCAGTAAAGAGAAGTTAGAGAGACTGCATTCCCAAATGTTTTGTAAAATGCCAGTTGAGTAAAAGCTAATTTTGTGTTCCCTTTAGTTACCTACAATGGCTTAATAAAGGAAACTTTTCAATCAGAAGCTGGCAAAATACATAGCATCTAGGAAAACAAAGCCTGCAGTCTGCTTCCTAATGACTCCGTCACATGAAGTTGCCTTAAACCAAGTCAGACCATTGGTCTACCAAAGTCAATATTGTTTACTCTGCCTGGCAGTGACTCCCCAGAGTCTCAGCCAGATGTCTTTCACATCACCTACTACCTGACCCTTTTAAGTGGAAATAGCAAGGAGTGCACTTGGGAGCTTCTCTGCATACAAAACAGATGCTCTGCCACTAAACTATGGCCCCTCCCCAAATCTATCAGATTACTATGGAAGTCTTTGTCACAGGTGCAGAAATTGGGTTGTATTTATCTAATCTTACATGTTTATACTCTCAGGTAATATATGCTTTAAACACTAAGAATGATGAACATGAAGCTGCTATCCAAGCCCTCAAGGATGCTCACGAAGAAGAAATCCAACAAATTCTTGCAGAAACCAGAGAAAAGATTCTACAGTACAAAAGTAAAGTTTCTGAGGAAATGGATTTGAAGAGAAAGATCCAAGTTTTAGAAGAGTCATTGGAGGACCATAAAAAGAGGAAGCATCAAGCCCTAACAGAATTTGAAGCTTATAAGGACAGAGTTGAGGATATGCAGCTTTGTGCAGAAGCCCAGCATGTCCAACGTGTAGTGACTATGTCGCGGGAAGTGGAAGAGATTAGAAAAAAGTTTGAGGAGCGGTTGCGAAGCTTTATACAGTTACAAGTACAGTTTGAGAAGGATAAGCGTTCAGCTCTTGATGAGTTGAAAGCTGCACATAGGCTTGAGGTTCAAGAACTTATGAAGACGCATCAGTGTCAGAATGCAACTTTAAGTAAGGGACAGGAAAAGTTGGAAGAGCTCCACAGACGGGATGTGGAAGAGCTGAATGCTAAAGTTGAAGATCTAAGACTGGAAAGGAAAAAGCTCATTGAGGACTATGAAAGTAAACTCAGCAAAGCTCAGTCTTTCTATGAACATGAACTTGATACTATGAAAAGGTCCCAACTGTTTACAGCCGAAAGTCTGAAAGCTTGCAAAGAGAAAGAAATGGAACTAAGGAAAGAATTTCAAAGCCAAGAATCTATTTTACGGAAAAACATGGGGAAACTAAAGACTGAATTGCAGATGGTACAAGATGAAGCAGGCAGTCTACGAGAAAAATGCCAGAAGCTTCAAATAGCATTAAATACAGCAGAAAACAATGTACAGGTGAGATTACCACTGTTAAATAATCAATTTGCTTAGAAGAAAACTAACTTTAAAATGAAAAGTAGTATTTAGCCAGTCACTATATGGATTGCTTATGAACTTTCAAGTCTTTGTAACTACTATTTAGCTGAGTTTTTCTCCTTCCTTTGGTGGGTTCCGTGTAGTGATTTTGCCTAATGTGGCCAGTGGGATGTTCCCACTCTTTTTTCTTTTCTTTTTTTGAGACTCTCCATCTGAAGTCATATTTATTTTAAGCATGACTTGTGGTGTTCCTGGGACTTTTCCCTTTAAGATGGAGCAAAGTGAACCCTGATGTATTGTCCAAGTCTGATAATGACATGCTGATTGTATGTCCATAGAAGTGCTTCACACTGGTTGCTTTCATGCCTACTGTGCAGTAAATCATAACAGAATATTATCTCTTTTTTAAAATTTAGGATTCACATATTTGTGCAAAGAGAGGTCTTAATCAATTAAAGCACCGTGCTCATTTGTTCATTCATTTGAAATTTATTTGTTTCATTTATACTTCACCTTTCTCTTCAGTGGGGACCCAAAACAGTTTACATCATTCTTCTCTCCTCCGCTTTATACTTGCAACAACCCTGTGAGGTAGGTTTGGTAAGAGTTTTTGACTGGCCCAAGATCACCCAGCAAGCTTCCATGCAGAGTGGGGATTCAAACCTGGGTCTCCCAGATCCCAGTTGACATCTAACCAGCGTCATTGGGAAATGTATAAAGTAAATTGATGGCAGCTTCACACTATACAATTCAATACAAGAACTCGTGGGCACTCAATTAAATTGCTGAGCAGTCAGGTTAGAATGGATAAAAGGAAGTACTTCTTCACCCAAAGATTGATTAACAAATGGAATTCACTGCCACAGGAGGTGGCGGCAGCTACAAGCATGGACATCTTCAAGAGGGAATTAGATAAGCATATGGAACAGAAGTCCATCAGTGGCTATTAGCCACACAGTATAGATAGGAACTCTCAGTCTAGGGCAAGTGATGCACTGTATTCTTTTTGCTTGGGGGGGGGCAACAGTGGGAGGGCTTCTAGTGTCCTGGCCCCACTGATGAACCTCCTGATGGCACCTGGTATTTTTGGCCACTGTGTGACAGAGTGTTGGACTAGATGGGCCATTGGCCTGTTCCAACATTGGCTTCTCTTATGTTCTTATAAACTTTTAAAATAATTTTAAACAATTTTATTCTGTCTGTTTAAAGAAGAAGAGAAGAGAAGAGATTGGATTTATACCCCGCCCTTCACTACTCAAAGCGGTTTACAAACGCCTTTCCCTTCCCCTCCCCACAACAGACACCCTGTGAGGTAGGTGGGACTGAGAGAGCTCTGACAGAAACTGCTCTTTTTCGAGAACAGCTCTTATCAGAACTACGGCTTGTCCAAGGTCATCCAGCCAGGTGCAAGTGGAGGAGTGGGGAATCAAACCCGGTTCTCCCAGATTAGAGTCCATGCACTTACCCACTACACCAAACTGGCTGTTAGTCTGTAACAGTAACAGTATGTAACAGTAGAAAAGAGCAAGAGTCCAGTAGCACCTTAAAGACTAACACCTTAAAGCACCTTAAAGACTAACAAAATTTGTGGCAGGGTAAATGAGCTTTCATGAGTCATTGTTCAGTTCAGTTCAGATAGACCAGTTGTAATTCTAGGTGATGTCCAGCTCTCCCTGGAGGAATGGCTGCTTTGGAGGATGGAGTCTACCCCTCTTAAGGTCCCTCCTCTTCTTAAACACCACCCTCCCCAGGCGACATCCCCCTTATCTCTAGGAATTTCCTAACCTGGAATTGGCAACCTTATCTCCTCGCCACTCAACAGTCAATCTACCTTTATCTGGCCCTCACTCCCTCAGCAGCCTTCACCTAGGAAAACTGTGGCACAGTTATGTAGTGCCAGCCACTGGGCCAGGCTAGGGTTGCCAGCCCCCAGGTGCAGGTGGGGGTTCCCCCACTTTTGGGGGCTCCAATCTGCTGCTGGCCACCTGGCCAGTGGGGGAAGCCCCGCCCCCAAGAGCAACCACCCATGGCCTCCTCTCTCCCTCCCCTCCTGAAAGATTTAAAGGGCTTCAGCTGATCGGCAGGGAGCACGTGGCCCACCGATCAGCTGGAGGGCCCTTTAAATCTTTCAGGACGGAGGGAGAGGGGCTGTCACCAACCACATGCTCCGTTCACAAAAAGATTCTTTAAAGGGTCTTTTTGTGAGGGAGGGCCTGCGGCGTGCAGGGCTGATTTGCCAGCAGTGATTTACTTTTGGGATTGAGGCACGTGTGCTGCCACCCTGCTTGCTGTGAACAGCATGGCAGCATGCAGGGCTGGCTGTGAGTGGGGTGGTGGCATGTGCACCTGAATTCCAAGCAGTGAATCGCTGCTGGGAAATCATCCCCATGCACCGCAGCCCTCACCCCACTCGCATAAAGGCCCTTTAGAAGGTTTTTTTGAGAGCAGAGTGTGTGGCTGGTGACAGCCCCTCTCCCTCCCTCCTGAAAGATCTGAAGGGCCCTCCAGCTGATTGGTGACCTATGTGCTCCCTGCCGATCAGCTGAAGCACTTTAAATTTGGCAGGAGGGGAGGGAGAGGGGTGGCTGCAAGTGGTCACTCTGGGAGTGGTGGGGCTTGGGGCATCCCCTCCCACCCCAGAATGCCCCCCAAATCCCCCCACTGGAGTGACAAGGGGACCTGACAACCCTAGGCCAGGCCCACTTGCATTGTAGAGAGCCCTCAAGGACTTGTGGGGGGGCTAACTTTCCTCTGTATCCCCCTCCCCACACTATTTTCTAATTTCTTCCACCTGGCAGATCCTTTCCCCTTTACCTTCCTCATTCTCTTGTTCGCAGCCATTCACCAACCTAGCTTTTATTTGGCTCCCAATTTCAGCTATATTTATTATTTCGTTTTATTCATTATTTCTTTTTGGGATTTTAATTCCACCCTCCCCAAATGGGCTCAGGGCAGATCAAAGACTCTTTACAATAAAATCATGTTAAAGTCATAAAAACAATAAACAATAAAATTGGTAGCAGCAATATAAATCTGTTGGGGCTGCAAGGTGGAATCAGATGGACCCTTTCAGCAGGTTGGGGACTAAAGAGCCAGTTTGGTGTAGTGGTTAAGTGTGTGGACTCTAATCTGGGAGAACCGGGTTTGATTCCCCACTCCTTCACTTGCACCTGCTGGATGACCTTCAGCAAGCCATAGTTCTGGCACAGCTGTTCTTGAAAAAAGAAGAGTTTCTGTCAGAGCTCTCTCAGTCTCACCTACCTCACAGGGTGTCTGTTGTGGGGAGGGGAAGGGAAAGGAGCTTGTAAACCGCTCTGAGACTCCTTTGGATAGTGAAGGGTGGGGTATAAATCCAATCTCCTCCTCCTCCTCCTCCTCCTTCTAAAGCAGGCAGGCCAACTGAGGTTGACGCCTACCGCCTCAGCTGAAGGTCTGGTGGAACAGCTCTGCTTTGGAGGCCCTGCAGAACAATAAAAGGTCCTGCAGGGCCCTGATCTCCAGTGGGAGCTGTATCCATTATTCTCCTCTCCTCCTTTTTATCCACACAACAACCCTGTAAGATAGTTTAGGCTGAAAGTATGTGACTGGTCCAAAATCACCCAGTGATCTTCCACAGCAACACGGGGATTCGAACCTGGTTCTCCCAGACCCTACTCTGAAACTCTAACTGCTATACCACACTGGCTTTCATAAGGTGGCTGCTGTTCAACAGTAGCAAGCAGCCAGGCCTAGCTGAGTCGTGCAAGTCAGGTGGTATCAAGGCACTCAAAGGTTACTGCCAGGCTTAGGGTTGCTAACCTCTGGGTGGGACCTGGAGATCTCCCTGAATTACAACTGCAGATGAGAGATCTGTCCCCCTGGAGAAAATGGCTGGTTTGGAGGGTGGGCTCTGTGGCATTATATTCAGCTGAGGTCTCTCCCCTCCCCAAATCCTGCTCTCCTCAGACTCCACCACAAAATCTCCAGGAATTTCCCAACCTGCAGCTGGCAATTCTAGACCAGGACTGGCCCCAAGGAATCCTCCCTCAAAGGCCAAAATAGGCCTGGAAAGGACCCTGCCCCCTCCCCTTGCTTTTTTATTCAAAGAAGCCCACCTGGCGTACTTTGGTTGCCTAGCAACAGCCACTGAGGGAATCTGTTGCTTAAAACTACAGGTGCTCCTATTATCATTGGGGGGGGGGTTAAATCCCCCCTATGTTTTGTTTTTAGATTTCACCTTTTTTTGCAAATCTGGGCCCCTTTCAGGTTTGGGGAAAGATCTGTCTTGCTCATTCACAGCTCCAGTCACCAGATTTAAGTATCCAAAGATTGACCAACTTTGCTATTAGAATATAAGAGTTGTTTTTATTGTGTTTTTATGTTTTATTCATAATGTGAGTCACCATGAGTCACAAGGGAGAAAGGCACCTAATGCTTTAATTTTTTTTTTTAAATGTAAAAATGCCAAGAGACATCTTCACACCATCTCTCGGTTGACTTATATGATTTCTCTCAGCCCTCCTAGACTGGCCAAAGCTGGGCGGGGAGCTGAACCAGCTTGTGGGCTGCATCCTACTTACACATCTCCAGTTAGCCATTTCAGGTATTAAAGGATTAGAACTTTTCGGATTGTTTTGAGATACTGATGAAAAATGAGGACAAATGTTTTATTCTTTCTCCATTCATGTGGGTTCATTTGTTAATTCTGTTATTATCTGCAGACCTTCTGTGACTCTGGGCAATTAGAAGATCTCATTTGCTTTCCAGCTCCTCTAATTAACTGCAAAGTCTATTTGGTTTCCATTCTAGAACACTAAACAATGAGGAATCTTCAGTTTTCCTGGGAATTTTGCATAAGCTGTTGGCTAAATAATGCAGTCATTAATATTTAGCACAATGGCATTTTCAGACTTCTGTCTCTATGCATTTTAAGTACTTATCAATTTTCTATGACTGTCATCTAACATAACTTACGGCTTGGAAAAAGGGTAAAAATTGTATGTTGTATATGCATAATATATGACTGATTTGCATGCATTGAGAGATAGCTTAGCCATTCCATTTTCTTGTTTGTTGTAAGTTGGTTTTTAAATTGACATCTTATTTTTTCTTCATTAAAACTCATTTTGGTAAGAGGAGTATACTATCTTTCTCTAGTTAAGCTACATCTTTACGTGTCATATAAAATTAACTTTTGTTAGAACACAATGTCAATGTTTATAATATTACCATTGAGTCATGTTTTTACAGAGAAGTTAAAAGCAAAGGATTAAATTTAGCAAGGTATTGTTTTCTAAGGTCATTTGTGAACAGAATGCTCAATGGTTATTTCCATGTAACATCAATAATATTGTGAACAGTGGGTTGGATCCTGCTTATGGAAGCACATCGAAAGCCAGTTTGGTGTAGTGGTTAAAAGCGTGGACTCTGATCTGGGAGAACTAGGTTTGATTCCCCAGTCCTCCACATGCAGCTGCTGGTGTGAACTTGGGTCAGTCACAAGTTCTTTCAGAGCTGTTCTCTCAAGAGCAGTCCTTGGAAGAGCTCTCTCACCCCCACCTACCTCACGGGGTAGTGGGGAGGAGAAGGGAAAGGGAAAGGAGATTGTAAGCCGCTCTGAGACTCCAAGTGAAGGGTGGATTATAAATCCAATCTCTTCTTCATCATCTTTCCCCATCTTCCTGTTCTTCCAGCAGCCCTTAAAAACCCCAGAAGAGCTGATGCTAGAGGTTGAGAGAGCCACGTTGCTACAAGACATAGGGGTTGCAGTAAGGAGCAGGAACTGAGTGATCTCCTTTTTGTTTTCTGGCATAGGAAGAATGGCAAAGAAAGCTTTCTTACAAGCTGTCCTTCCAAGAGAGATAGTGGCTAGTTCAGTGATTGTATGGCCTCTCAATGACATGTGACATTTAGTCTGTGAGGTTCCCTTGACCCCATTATCTGCTTTGGGGGGATTTTAGGGAACTACTGGGTAGGGTTGCTAGCTGATGGCTGGTCCCTGGCATGAGATGGGAGCGGGGACATGAGGAGCACTGTTTTTATGATGGTGTGACCTCACATTACTTGTGGGGGGAAACTGGAAGTGACATTACACTGGAAACTCAACCATAGAGTGTTCTGCAATTTCCAGAATGGTATGATGTCACTTTCTGGTTTTCCCCAGAAGTGATGTAATGCTAACAGTGATTTAAAAAAAAAACACACCTTAATTTTTAATTTTTCTCCTTGCAAGCCAAAGGAGCAGCAGCAGGAAGCAGGGGTTGGGTGACACCATAGTGCCACCATAGTGCGAGACCTGGCAACCCTATTGCTTGGGGGGGGGGGGGAGAGCAGGGAAGGTGGTACTCATGGTGAATAGGATCAAATCCAATGTGCCATAAAGTATGCATATTTGGAACAGAATATCTGCAAGCCTTTCTTTTGAAAGAGTAAAAATATAGATGTGAATTAATCAGATTTGTATGCAACAGCCATGCAAGAGCTTATGAAAATTTTAAAAATTATTAGTAAAGCACTGCAAAAAAGGTTCAGGCAAGAAGGTGATTAACTGTCTTTGTTTGATAAATTGAGTAATAATCCTTCAGTGCTCAAATGCTATCTGAATTGGTAAATTTAATTCATACATGTTCAGTTGGTCCAATTTTGTCTAACATAATGTGTTTTTGTAGGCTCTTCAAAAACAGCTAGATGATGTCAAAGAAGAGGAGATATCTTTGTTAAGTAAACACAAGGAAGTTGAAAGTGAGCTAGCTGCTGCTAGGGAACATTTACAGCAACAGGCCACAGACCTTGTACTAAAAGCCAGTATGTATGATTTTATGGGCTAATGTGTAATCTTCATGAAGTGTTTATTTAGAATGACATTTCTGTACATTTTTTATTTTAAAAATCTTAATTATTCATTTTTATTGAAAGTAAGTTGAGGCACAATTGCCTTTTTGAAATCAATTTTGCTTTTCAGTCTAGGGTTGCCAGGTCCCCTTGTTGCTCCGGCGATGGGATTTGGGAGGGCATTCTGGGACATCCCTGATGTGATAACGTCACCTGGACGTGAAGTCTGGCGTGCTCTGGCCCCAAATGACCCCTGGTCTTATAAGACTGAAATGTTCTCTGAGTAATTTCTGATTGTTACCACTTTACAGATACCATTTTCCTCAGCGATTATAGATTACACAGCTACGGAGCTTGCATTATTGCTGTTATCGTGAATTATCTCTGATTACATTTAAGTCTTACACAATTACATTTCATCCTGTACTTCCTGCATTTCATGACCTTTTGACTTTACTGTTTACAGCTTTTTTCATGTATATGTGTGTATTTATTTATTTATCTACTTAGTGAAGGCCCACTCCATGGATTGATGGAGTGAGCTCTAGTCCATGAAAAATTATACTAGAATAAAACCTTTTTAGTTAAAAAGGTGACAAAACACTATTTATTTCTGCTACAATAGACTAATGTAGCTATCCTTCTAGAAGTAGAGAATATATTAATGATTTCTGTTTTCTTGAAGATGGTATCCTATTCAATTAGTTTATTAAAGTTGGCTATTGAGTAGTTAGGGGTGAAGAGAGCAGACTACTAAATATCTTAAATATCCACTGTAATAGTCAAGTGTGGCCCAATCTGCAGCTATCTAAATCCATAGATTGGAGCCACATTGACTATAAGCAGATAGTTCTGCAAATTTGGGGGACCCCCCAGTTTTGAAGAAAAATCTGAAAACTTAAAAAAAGACATTTGGGGGGTTTAAATCCCCCCCAAAATAAAATAGCATTGTTTGAGTGTGCACAGGCAACATACTTACCTTGATTCTGAAGAGACTCCATGAAGTCTGAGGACCACTCTGGGCCCAGCCATGGGGATGGCACAGTTCGGGAGCCACTTCAGGCCTGGCAGCTGCAGAGTCCAGGAGCTGCTCCAGGCTCAGCAGCAGCATTCTGCTGGCCCCCAAAGGCACTGACACAACAGCCCCCAGGGCCTTGCTGTGGACACGGTGGCTCCTTGTTGCTGAGGCTCTCAGAGCAAGGGCAGCACCAATAAGGACAGGCCCAGTAGCCAAAGAGGAGTTCAGCGTTGGAGGGGGGGGTGAGAAAGACAGCTGGGGGAATATTGACAGAGAAGGGGACGGGGAAGATTGTCAGAGAAGGGGAGTGGGGAGAGATATAGGGGAGAAGATTGCAGAGAAGAGGGGGGAGAAAGAGTGGAAAGATTGACAGAAAAGGGGAGAGGGTGAGAAAGAGGGGGGAGATTGTTAGAGAAGGGGAGGGAAAGAGAGAGGGAAGGTTGGCTGTTAAGGGGAGGGAAAAAGAGAAAGGGGGAAATTGACAGAGAGGGGCGAGAGTGAGAAAATGAGGGGGGAAGATTATCAAAGGAGGCAAGAGGGAAGAAAACAAAGGTGGAGGGATGAGATGCACCCTCCACAAGTTTCTTGCGGGTCCTTGTAAAAGTACTGAGTGATGTTAATTGTTCTCTAATGTAATATTAGATTTCTGTAATGTCAGAAAATTTGCTTTTTAACAATAAACATAATACTGCATGATCTTGTATGCATTAGATTATGATTTTTATAGGTTCAATGTGTTTAAATATTACTTAGACCATATGAGTTCATTCTCAGAAAGTGCAAGAATCCTAAGATTTTAAATTAGTGCTTTATTTTTGCAGGTCACATTGGAATGCTTCAAGCTACTCAGATGACCCAGGAAGTTACCATACAAGATTTAGAATCTGAAAAGTCCAAATTAAAGGAAAAGCTGTCGCAGATGGAAGAAGAAAGAAATCTATTGCAAAGCAAAACACAAAATCTAGATGAAAGACAAAGGCAGCAAATTCTTGCATTGGAGAAGGTGAATGTTCTCCCCCAACCCAACCCAATTGTAGTTTCGAACTGATACTATGTATGTATGCAGATGTCACAAACAAACTCAGAGATGTTTGTGATAAGAAAAATAACTGATTTATTCCTTTAGTCTTCTCCTCTCATGCAGAGTCAAGATAGGAGTATTCTGGATTTTCTTCCATCAAACCACAATTTGTTATGATGTCTGAATTCAGGCCCTTCATCAAATTGGGGTTGTTTCTTGACTATAAATAGGGATTTAAAACAAGGATTAAACCACAGTTTAGAATCTCAGTTTGTACTCAGTCTTAAATTTGTTGACTCACCTAAATTAGGATGTCACAACACATTATGAATAGTTTAAAAGCTTCTTAAACCAGGAAATCTTCATTCTCAGCTCCATCTATGAAGGAAGCGGAAAGGAACATATACACTCAAGAATAAAGTAGACTGTGACACACCCCTTTTCACTCAGAGTCCCTACCACCCTCCACAACCTTAGCTTCACAGGTTCAGGGTTACAGGTAGGTCAGGCAGTCACAGTTCATCGCCCAGCATGCCTTTTTTAAAACACATAGAGAGCCATGACCATTTTATGTACCAGACTCTCTCTCACTCACAGAGATACCACCAAACAAGGTAGCCCAGTCGCCTTTAATAATCACCCCTCACTCAGACACTGTACAGAGCTATTGGGGCTGGGTACTGGGTACTCAAACACTGTTTCAATCACACGCTGCCACAATTTATTCAAATCCTAATATGCATTTATGCATATCAGCATATCTCAGAAAAAGCCACTCCTGAGGGTAGGGGAACCCTCAAAACCAGCATGGGATGCAGCACAGAGAACTGCAGCAAGAAGGTGGAAATTGTTGCAAATTGCTGCACCCTGCTCTTATGCAAAAGGAGCTGAAGCTCAAACAGAAGAGCTTCTCCAGTGGTCCTAGTGGTGGGGCAGTCTTCACTTAGTAGCTCCTCCTCTCTGCAGGCAGGGTCGTCATCTTTGCAATCCCAGAGGGGAGGGGCTTATCCCAGAACTCTCCAGTTTGTTCGGCCCTGTCTAGCAGCTGGATGTCTTTGGCAGTGCTCTTCAGAGCACAGCGATCCCATTAACCAGCTTACTTAAAGGACATTTTCGCAAGTCACCCGTTAGGAAGAAAAAAAGGTTGGAGGAAATTGCAGGGAGCAGAAAGGGCTTCTGCCCCATGCCCTGCTCTGCATCGTGGCAGAGAGAAACCGGGAGCACCAGGGATTACCCTCACACCACAGCACTTGCCCAGTCAGGCACTGCAGTGGGATCTCCAGCCCTAGGGCCGGGAGTTTCCCCAGCCACCCCACAGGGGCGTAAAGTGCCAGTGGTAGCCACACCGGAACGCCTTGGCCCTCCACATGACCCCTAAATTGCCAAAAGGGCTGGTTTCAGCAAGGAGACTGCAGCACCCACAGTCATGATCTTCCCATCCCTCCAGAACCTCGGTAAGGCCTAACCAGTTTATTCTCCAAAGGGCCTGCTTTGTGGCAGAGGAGAGCCCTTTTCACTTTCAGTTTTGGGGGAAGGAGTCCAGTTTATTCTCCGAAGGGCCTGTCTTATGGCAGAGGATAGCCTTTCACTTTCAGTTTTGGGGAAGGAGTCGAAGGCAGGCCTTTCTACCTCCCAGCCCCATGATACCTAATTCTCTGGCCTCTACCATTCCTGGGTCCCAGCCAAATAAAGAGGGAAAGAGCCCACTCCCTAGACCTCTCTGGGGTTAATGCCTAGGCCAGTTTCCTAGCCTAAATTATGAAGGGAATGAGGTGGGTAATCAAGGAGGCCAGGAGTCAGACCAGCCAAAGCAGGACACCAACAAGGTCACCTGCCAGACAGGGAAGGAATTCCCCATCTAGCAGTGCCTCCCTAGGCATAAGGTCTGAGAGAACATCTTCCTCCTCCCCATTCCAAAAAGACAAAGACAGGCCATTCTTCCAGGCACAGCAGGGAATCTAGTCCCCTCCTGAGCCATCACTATGAAGAATCTGAAGTCTGAGACTCCTCATCCATGAGGAGAAAAGGGGAGCTGTTGTCGGAGGAAGGGGCCATGGTCACCACAATGCAGATACATCTCTTCCCTCAGCAAGTGTCTGCTAAATTACTCCCAAAAGTGTTGCACGTATTATAGATTTCATGTAACACCTAGGGGAAGGGAGAACCAGACCCAAATTTCCCAGATGGGTTGGACAGAGCCTCCCCAAGGTGGGGGTGGCCCCACTGGGATCCCTTTCCCTGCAGTCTTTAAAAGTGCAGGTAGAACTGAATGGGAAGCACCAGCCAGAACAAAGTCTGACCATTCTCTTTATTTCGAAGTTCTGTTCCTTGGTACCAGAAGCTGCTAAGAGATTCAAGCTGCCCCTAGTGGATAATCCCATGGCAAGCCTGTGTTCAAAGCTAGTGCTTTTGGTGGGGGTGAATAGTTTTCTCAGGGACCTTGCAATAGACGGATAGAGTAGGCTGTACGCCAGGAATCTGAAGCTTCCTCAACAGTGTTGAGAGCTTCTATGGCATGCTCCATGTCCACCAGAGCTGCTTATTCCTGGGTGTCTGATCTCACAGCAGCAGACAGCATCCCAAGGAACTAAATAATATAATATAAAATAAAAATGCTCTCACAACAGCATTTGTGGCAGATGCTTCCTTGGATGACATCCAGCTATCGGCCAGAGCCATGGCCTCTAGCGTAACAGCCAGACGTCATGCCTGGCTCCAGAGTTGGGAAGTGAATCCTTCAGCACAGGCCACGGTAACCAGCGTTCCTTTCAGGGGTGTCAACCTATTTGGTGAAGGCATGGACAAGGAAAAGCATTGCCGTCCAGGAAGGAAGACAGTCTAGGAAACACTTCTCTTCCTTTCAAGAGTCCAAGTGACCTTCATGGGCCAGTTCTACTAGGTCCTTCAAAGGAGATGGCAGCCCAAGCCACAAGGCAGTAACAGAACTACCTTCTTTAACAAGTCTGGACAGAACATCAAGGGATGCTAGAACGGTTCTTCAGCATGACTATGCTGATACTTCAAGCACCCTAAGAGCTGGAGATTATCTGCAGCTCCTTGCAACTCACTGGTAACACAGCGCAAATGACAAGTTGGTCTTTGATACAGTCACAAATGGCTTTTCCTTTGAATTCAGTTTGATTCCACTCAATCGTTTTATTTGTGTACCAAGAAATTGTTCCAACCAGAAGTATCTCCTTCTGGAGAAGGCCATTCAACACTTGCTGGGCATTGGGGCGATAGAACCAGTGCCAGAAGCACAAAAGACTTTGGGGCTCTACTCCATTCTTTCATAGTCCCAAAGAAGAATGGGGATATCAGGGCCATTCTAGACCTCAAATGGCTGAACAGTCATATAAGGATCAAGAGATTCATAATGGAGACCCTCAGGTCAATTGTAGCATCCTTCCAGATTGGAGACTTCTTGGCATCAATAGATCTCTCAGAGGCCTATTTGCACAACCCTATCCGAGAAGCTCATCAAAGGTTCCTGCAATTTGCTTATGATGGGAGGCACTCCCACTGCCGGGTTTTTCCATAAGAGTTAAAATCAGTGCCAAAGGTATTTACCAAGGTTCTGGTAGTACCTGTAGCATATCTGAGGACTGTTTCTTTCCTGGAAGACCTCTTAATCATTGAGGTATGGAAAAAGTGAACCAGACAGCGTCTTGTCTTCAGGAACTCGTTTTTCTGGTCATCTGGGAAAAGAACAATCTACACCCGACATAGAATGTACTCCACCTAGAGCTATTAATAGACACTGCCCAAGACACGGTCTTCGTGTCATCAGAGAGACAGGAGAAGATTCAGACAACAGTTGGCGAGGTCCTTCAGAATTCCAAGGCAGAACGGATCCCTGGCAAAACAGCCAGGGATGATGGTATCTTGCAAGAATGTTCTGCAGTGGTCCAGTTTTCACGCCCATCCACTCCAGAGGTTCCTGCTCCCATATCAGGACATAATTGTCACCAAGGCGTTCAAGCTTCTGCTGTTACCTGGACACCCAATACAGGAGCTCAGCAGGTGGACTGTTCCCTCCAGGTTCCAGGACGGGATTCCCCTAAGGCAGTGGTTCTCAACCTTCCTAATGCCGCAACCCTTTAATTGGGCCCTGGCCTGCCTAGGTAATTTAGTTCCCAGCAGAGCCCCCAGAGTGTGACTGTTGAAGTCCACACAGGGGATATGTGGACTTGAGACATGTGAATGAGATTTAAGATTACAGTAAATCCTCAGATAATACATGGTTCAAGTGTATGTGAGTTTTGGAAAAGTGCCTAATTTTGAAATACTTCCATTACAGAAAGTGAATGAAGCAAGGGAAACACAAAGAGAATATTATGAGAAAGAGTTAATAAAACTGCAAGCCAGACTAGAAGGAGAAGCTGCACAGCTAAATGAGGCTCATTCTAAGACCTTGGAGGAGTTGGCATGGAAACATCATAATGCTCTTGAGGCAGCACATAGCAATACTACCAAGGAAAAAAAGAAACTGCAAATGGTAAGTGATCCATAATGTGAGGAGTATTTCTGTTTGCTTTGTAAAGAGATCTTGAGTAAATTTTAACACATTGTAATGGTTCCTAACCTTTTCACTACCATGATTGACAAAATCTTTACTTACTCAAATAATTTTATGTAAAAGAGACACTCTGTGTATTAAGTTCCCTGTGCTCCCAGATTTTGTTCTGTTGGTGATGAACAGACAGATGGAATTGGCTTCCTCATCTTTTCAGAACACTTTCTGGAACATTCCATTTTCTAGTTTTTACATCTTTCCCAAGGGAATTTGGAAAACTAGCAGATAGGACTGTGGGTTAGATATGCTAGTGCTGAAAGATCCATGAAAGTGACAAATTATCATATTCATGGCCATGTAAGTTATGTAGGCATATTGTCTGTTCATGGAGCACCAGCTGTCTGAATCATTGGGACATGTGTACAGACTGCTAGGTGAAAAGTTCCTGGTTAATTTTATAACTGCTGCTTCCATTGGTTAGACATGTGAGTTCATTTTCCACAATAATAAAAAAATTGCAACAATCTACCTTTGGTTTTTTCCAGTGCAATCCTGTGCTGAGTTATTCCTGTCTATGCCCACTGAAATCAGTGGATATAAACTGAAGTAACTGCATAAAATTCACTGTTCTTCTTCTTGTTTCCTGTACGAAGCAATTATGTTGCTATGTTATAGACTATATAAATATTTTAGACATGGAGGGCAGATGAGCATACCTCTTCTGCCTTCCAACCTATAGGCTGGTACATATATTACAGATATGGCCTGGCTGTGGTCATTGATTTTATTTTTGTACTGCTTCTGTTTAGTGTGTGCATCAGTGTTTTTTTAATCTGTATTAACCCTAATAATCAACATGAAATGTTTTGTTAAATGTTATAAATCTGCTTTCCTGACCTGGATAGCCTAGGCTAACCTGCTCTCATCAGATCTTGGAATCTAAGCAGGGTTGGCCCTGGTTAGCATTTGGATGAGAAACCATCAAGGATTACCACAGTCACTATTCAGAGGCACACAATGGCAAATCATCTCTGAACATCTCTTGCCTTGAAAACACTGTGCGGTTGTCATTAAGTTAGCTGCAATAAATAAATAGTTATTCTGTCACTTGTGATATTGTGCTCAGGTATTAGATATGGGGAAAGAGAGTTGACATTTATAGCACTATGACTAATTATTTAAAAACAAGAAGCCTTTTCATTTATTTTATGAATAAGTAACATGCACAAGTACAGCAATCAGGCCCTGTAGACAACATAGCAACATTCTCTGTGTTAAAATTGTACCAGTACCAGTAACGTCTTGCACTCAGTTTATTCGTACAGTTATTTTATAAGCATATGTTGTGTTGGGTTGGAATCTGAACCCTGGTCTCCTGAGCCCAAGTCTAGTACCCTAACACTCGCACCATTCTGGCTTTTAAACTTATATTTCTAATATGAATTTTGAATCAGCATGACATGTTCTATTCTGTGTTTCATTTTCTTTAGGAGTTGGAGCAGCATTTTGAAAAAGAGAAGCTACATTTAGAGGATGAGAAAAATCAGCTTCGACAGCAGTTGGAAAACCTGAGGGAAGAGCTGACAGCCAAGCTGACTGTATCCAATCAGGAGGCAAGAATCAACTTTGTCTTTTCAGCTAACTGTCATGTGCATTAGCCCATATTTAATCAATGATGATATTATTCTTAGTTGATGTTTTAAGTTTGCATATTAAGCTTTGGTCAGTACTCTTCAGTTTAGAGCCAACATTCTCCAAACTTTTTTTTACATATACAGTTTTATATTCACTAAAAAAAAAAAAGATATTATGATATTATATGGGATATCATAGGCCTACTCCAACAATGTGCCTGGGAATCAAGTGCATTGTTTAACTAGTTACTGACCATAACCGCTGTCAGGGCTTTTTTTGTAGAAAAAGCCCAGCAGGAACTCATTAGCATAATAGGCCACACCCTGACAGCATAGATCATTAGCATATTAGGCCACACCCATGACAACACAGCTCATTAGCATATTAGGCCACACCCCATGCCTTCCTTTGGCTTGTCTGGGCACCCCGCAACTGCGGGGAGCCCGGGCAAGCTGGCCCTTGGAGGGTAGGAAAGGCAGTTTAAACTTCCAGGCCCCCCTTGGCCCGCCCACCTCGGAGTCGCCGGGAGGGGGTCACTCTCCAGGCCTTCCCTCTGTAGCCACGCACGCAGAGGTTTTGGCTGTAGTGGGCGTGGCCAACTCTGAAGCCAGCCGGAACTCCGTTCCTGTGCGTTCCTGCCCAAAAAGAGCCCTGACCGCTGTCTAGCATTTGTAGCTGGTAACTGCATACTCCTTGTTGTTTGAATAGTGGTAAATTCATGTCTTCAGGAATAAGCCAAGAATATCAGTATGAGGATAAAAACATACACTGAAAAATCCATGTTGTTCAAACCCATGCTGCATTAACACATTAGCACTCATTCACAACTGGATTTTTCTTTCACAGCTCAGGATGTGAATGCTTGTTCCAGTGCAGTGACAGTGCAGCATCCAATGGCACGTTGATAAAACATTACCCAGGCCAATTTGGGTTATAAGTGGACCAAAGTAACAGATGGCTTTTAAAAAGCATCAAACAAATATATAGCAGATCTTTGTGTACGCTAAGATTACCATTATGCTTTATTGTTGAGTGTGAATTTTCCCCAGCCCAGATTCAGTACTCTAGCAGTTATGCCCTGCTGGCTTTTTAACTTTAATTTTCAATATGAACAAACACAGTCAGTATGCTATATTGATATGGCTGCATCACCTTTGGTATAATTCTGTTTTGTAGATACCATGTAATTTGGAAGTTTGAGTTCTTTTTATTTTTTGAGTGTACTCAAAGAAGGCGGGACTGCCTTCTCCGCTATGTGAGGCTCTACTGATAACAACTTGTTGGTGATCCCTGGCCCCAACCTGGTGAAACTCTCTGCCATATGACACCAGGGCCCTGTGGGACCTTGTGCAATTCCTCAGGGCCTTTAAAGCAGAGATGTTCCTCCAGGCTTTTGGTTGAGGACAGCAATGGTTGGTTGCACTGGCTGGCACCCTTCCCTCTCCCCTCTCTCTATATATTTTGGTTAAGTTCCCCCCTCCCAAAAAAAGGGCTGGGCAGTCCAGAATGGGAACAAAAATTGTAAATTGCCTTCTGGGATCTTTTATTCTAGTTTTATCTTTTACTAACTCTATATGGATATTTTAAAATTTGTATTTTGTTTTATGGCACTTTACCTTTTGTACATCACCCAGAGCCCGGCATAAGCCAGGATAGGGTGATTAATAAATCAATTCCAATAATAATAATTATGATGTTGATGACGATGACAACGACGACGATGATGATGATAATTTGTTTGTAAAGTAGGGTTCTCCACCTGACACACATATACACCCACCCCAAATTATGGGGGCTTATGGCTCAGCCTAAGCCAAATACTTGCCGAGGGTTTTCATTCCATTAGTCCTAATCAAAAAAGCTCCAACAGGTCCCATGGAGTTTTCCTTGCTTTGAAGAGTAACCCACCATGCCATATTGCGAAATGTTTTTAAAATGTTTTGAATTCATTGATGCTATTTTTAAAATGTTATTCCTTAGTAAGGCATAAAGTTCCAGAATATTTTATTGTAAGCAGGGCTCTTTTTTTTGTAGAAAAAGTCCAGCAGGAACTCATTAGCATAATAGGCCACACCCAGCAGCAGAAACTCATTAGCATATTAGGCCACACCCCCTGACTGCACCACTCATTAGCATATTAGGCCGCATTCCCATGTTACCAGAAGTGTGGTCATCCAGCCACACCCACCTTTTGCTTCTTATTCTGTTTACCTTGTTTGTTGTCAAAACCCAGGGCTTTTTTGGTTGCAGGAACTCCTTTGCATGTTAGGCCACACACCCCTAATGTAGCCAATTCTAATGAGTTTCTACTGCTGGGTGTGGCCTGTTATGCTAATGAGTTCCTGCTGGGTGTGGCCAACTTGGGAGCCAGCCGGAACTCTGTTCCTGTGCGTTCCTGCCCAAATATAGCCCTGATTGTAAGCAACCTAATACAAATCTTTCTGGGAAAGAAGGAGAGAGATTTATGTGGAAGGGAGTCCAGACAAAAGTATCTTAATTGTGCATCAGTTAGTTAATTGATTCAGATCTTTTGTCAGCCCTTGATCTTTACCAGTATTCCTTTATTAATTGCAGTAAAATTTCTCAAAAGGGATGGATGTTTAATGTTAAAATTTGTGAAACAACCTTTGTTGTTTTGTCTATAGAAATGCAGTATCTAGTTCACTTTAAAGAGCTGGTATACTTTGGCAAAAAAAGACTTAAGATTACTAAGTAAGTCAGAAAAGTGAGAAACAATCTAATCAAGCATATACTGATTGGGTATAATACTTGTCACCGTGTTTAGTGTTTGTTCAACAGAATGCATACAATAATTCAGAATTCTGTAATCAGAGCTAGAAGGAATTTGACAGCACATTCTTGGAATTGTTCGGGTGATACTTGCAAATTCTCACCTATGTATTCAGCAAGGCCAGGATTGGGTTTCATTTATTTATTTATTTTTTATTTAACCTTCGATTTATATACCGCCCTAACCCCCCCTATGGGGGTCTCTGGGCGGTTTACAACTTTGTAGTGCTAATCACTTTTTTGGATCCCTAACTATGGGCACATTCTCAAGGGTTTGGTCAGCCTACCTAACACCCTGGTGGTGGCGGCTCTTCCTTCTGGTCTCCGGCTTCGGCTTCCTTGGCTCCTTCGGTCGGCAGGACGCTCCTCTCTCCGGCGCAGTTCTTCTCCAGCGAGGCAGCCGTCTCGGTGTGTGAGTTCGTCTCTCCCGGCCTTGGCTCCGTCCGATAGGCTCCGCTGCGCCGGGAGATGACGTCAACCGCACCTTCTGCTGCTCGCGCCGGCCGCTTTCTGTTGGAACTCCGCAGGCCACCAGGGATCGCTCCACTGGCTCTCGATGTTCCGCCGTGCCACCTCGTCTCTGCCGCCAGGATCCGCCATCACCGTTGCCGCCATTGTTGTTGTTCCTTCGCTGCTGCCGCCGCCGCACACCACACTCCTCGGACGAGGGGGGTGCCCCTACCCTACTAAAGGTAGGTTCCCATTCATCTACTCGCCCTCTAACAGGCTTTTGAACTGCTGGGTGGGCGGGAGCTGGGACGCGGGCTGGGAGCTCACTCCGGCCACGGTGGGGCTCGAACAGATGTTCAGCCAGATGTTAAGGCAGGCTGCATTAACAGCCTGTGCCACCGCTCCGCTTTTGGGTACTTCTCCATACTCCTCTTATGTGCTCTGCTTCCAGATTCAGAAGACATCCTATTTTCATATAAACACAGGATCCCCCAGTTCAGGAGTTATATTCTAGGTACAGAAAGAAAGTATATGATCCCAAGAGAAACTCCTGATCTTAGTATATGTAGAGCTGAGATCAGAGCAGTGTCATCCAAACAGCCCTTTTAAAAGCAATGTATTGTGCATTCAAGTGTGTATATCCTGTTTTTCTGGTACAAGTTAGCCATTGAACAGGAAAATTTCCAGTGAACCACTGCTCTGGAAGGCCAGTGGTGGCCACTAAGGGGAAAATATATGCTGACCAGGGGCTCTAGGGCTTGGCATGCCTCTGGTCATTGTGGTAAAACAACTTGGAGACTTGGTTTTTACCATGGAGAATGAGGGATTTATTTTGCTGGATCAGGTATCAAAGTTGCTAGACTCTAATGAGTTGATGACTTCTCCCTGCTTTCCCCCCCACTCATTCCCTCAATCCATTCAGTTAAGCAGGCACTCCCTGCTGGTCTTTTATACTTGAGAAAGTGTGAGCTAAGGCATGAGACGTTTTTATGGGAGCAGGGACCAAATGACTCCAGTTTCAGGGGGAAAAACAGATTTTTATCTTGAAAGATGTAGTATACAATTGATTCACATGAAATAAAAACACACATTTGAACATCAAAAGATGACAGCATCTGGGCAATGTAGAACCTGTGATGTTAAAGAGATAGGCAGAAATAACTTAATGGTTCCATCTCAGTTACCTTTTTCGCCCTCCAGGTGGTCATCTCTTGTCAGATCATGTATGAGTGTTCTCCAATGTGTGTCTGTCTTGAGTGGATGCTTCTCCCCAACTTACTCAAGTAGTGGATGCTTTTGAATCCCTCTCTAAGGATGGCTGTCCCTCTTCTTAAAGGGAGAGCTTCTTCTTCCCATAAACTCTTTTGTCAAAATACTCCACAGCAGGAAAAGGCTTCTCCATTGCCTAGAAGACCAGGCCAGAGTTCTGTCTCTCCTTTGTCTTCTCAAGTTGCATTCATGTTTCTACTGCTGGTTTTATGGCCTCTTTCATCAGCTTGGCAACCAGAATGTAAACTCAACATTCCCAAAGCAAAGTACAAAATTCTTATGCTCATACCTGTGAAGTATCATTTCATCACAGTCAGTAGTGCTGTGGCAGTATAGGTGGTTTGGACAGCCATTTTTGTGATGAGGAGGATGCCGTGGCTAGGGCTGCTGAGAGCCACCATGGGCCCCAGACAAAGATTCCATCTGCCCCCCCCCATGACCCTGATCCAAACCAAATATCATAAGGCCC